AAATGTTCTCGACTTTTTCCCCAGTGATGCAGACCATATCCTACTCAGGATCTTCATTCCCATCAGTCCAGACTGTCCTCTACTTATGGCCACTCTCCCTGTGATGCATTTCCAGATCCTACTCAGCGCCACTTGCAGGACCACTGCCAGAATATTCAGACACTGCTCCACCTTAATATCATGCTCCAGCTGTAAACCCCACTCTGACCATGACCCAGGCCTTTGCATATCCTCGTCTTCCCTCATGATCAGCACTAGGAGTTTACAGAGGCCTGCACAGACACCCACTGTCTAGTAAACAGACTTCCTAGATTTATGAACTCCACACAAAGTATTTTTTTGCCCTTTCAGCAAACTCATATGGAAATACAACCGAGTTGTACATTCGAGTTCTTCGAGATTCTGTGATTAGAGCTGTGAGCTATGATCCCAGTCAACATGGATTTATTATTCAAGGGAACCAAACTAAATTGCCTATACACAACAGCAACAATGATATCAAATAGCTGGGAGAAATTTTACCATAGAACACCAAGGCGGTGCTGCTGTGCAGGGTTTGACATGCACGTACACATATCCCAACACCATGACAACAAAACAATATCCCACCACTAATGTGGCCATCGTTGCAGCTTAAAACAAGGGAAAGATACCTGGGGATATTGAGTCCCAGGGGCAGGAGACGGAATTAGCAGCATTTAATCACCAACAGTTGGACTAGGGCTTTCTGGCCTCTCCTGAACCCTTAGTAGACTTTTGAAACAATGTGGCACTCCATGGAAATTTTGCAATACCATCAAACAGGCCAGTGCTTTTCAAGTTACTTCTCCGGCCAGCAACACAATTCCTCAACCAAGAGAACATGGGCAGAAGAAAAATAAAGTGCCCCTTTCTAACATTTAGCTCGAGGCACACTCTTTCACCTTTGTAACACTTTCCCGCAGGGCATATTCCTCTGCCCGAAACTTTATGATATAAAGCAAAGCAAGAAGATACCTCAAAAAATGACCCGAGCAGAAGTTCCCACTGCCTTCCCTACTTTCTTAACGACTCTGTTGAAGAAACCAAAAGGGGAATTTTTCCTTTAAATTCTAGTTGTCATCTTGCATCAAATCCCTTGCAGAGGGAAAAGAAGGGAGAAAGATTTCGAAAATAAAACAGTCTAACACTTACAAAGTTGGCATTTAAAAAGGGAAAGAAAGTGGTGCATGGTACCTGGGGGACATTAATCACCATAGATTGAGTGTCCTTGCAACCAGTCAATCAAGCTCGGGTGGAAACGCTACACACCAGAAACCAAAAACTTTATCCGCAAAACTGACATCTCCTGACATCTCTTATGGGTATGAAAATTATTTCATTCCAAGGGAGAACCACACACCCAGAACAGCAAAACCAGCTAGGCACCCTAACTAATCCGAGAGCCCAGACTATAGTAATTTCCCACCCACGGCAGATACAAACGAACCGTTGATATTCTTAAGCACCCGTCAAGCATTCATCACTCTCGGGCCCGCTGTAACCGAGCGCGGATTCCCACAGAGCCTGCACGGCCGGAAGCAAAAAAGACTTAGGAACGGGTGAAAGAAGAGAGTAAGGCAGCGCCACTGACCGTGTCGAGGAGAGCGGACGGCTCCGGCTGCGTGTCCTTGGCCGCGGGGCCGGGCGGCGGTGGAGGAGGAGGGAAGTTGGGGCTGAAAACCATGAGGTCGCTCTTGGCCGCGCCGTCCGCCACGCACAGGCTGCGGCTGTGGCGCTGCGAGTACGACCAGCTGCCCACTTCGCTGGCGCACACCAGCGTCGTGGGCCCGGGCCCCGACAGCACGGCCGCCCGCGGCGCCCAGCGCGACGCCCCGTACAGCACCAGCGCCAGCAGGAACACGCTCGACACGGCGCAGATCGCCACCACCAGCCACACGTTCGTCGCCGCGCTCGCCGCACCCGCGCCGACATCCACGCCCACCGACGACCGCGAACCTGAAGACGACGACGACGATCCCGCGGCCAGCGCCGCCTCGGCCGCCTCGAGCAGCGACACGCTGAGCGTGGCCGTGGCCGAGCGCGCCGGCTCGCCGTGGTCGCGCACGACGATCAGCAGCCTGTGGCGAGGGCCGTCCGCCTCGTCCAGCGGCCG